TGAATAATATTGATGGCGATTGCGACACCGATGTATCCAATAATATTGACGAACAAAATTTAGAATCAACTTATGTTGCTGATACACCTGTCGAAAGTCTTCTGATAACAGTTAACAGAAAACAAACCTCAAGAAAAAATTGTAAGTTTAGGTCGAAAACAGATAGAAAAATTAGATATATTTATTAATGTTTAATCTATATGTGCAAAACAAATAGTTATTGATTATTTTAGATTTCCTCATATACATAAAATTTATGCATTAATAATGAAAGATTTAACATTGGTTAAACGAAATATTAGGTAAAGTTAGTTGTTTTTTCTTCTGGTATTTGGTTTAGTGATGAGTGTTGGCTTATTTTTTTAGTTTGTTGATATTTCAATTTCTAATTCCTGTTATTCAAATTTCGCTTTTTTGTCTTTGTATTGGTCGTAAGTTAATGTGAAATTTCATTAATTTTATATTATTTCATATATGATATTTAGGTAATGCTGAACATATTTCAATGGCACTTTATAATGGTGAAGCAGTACATGGATTTCCAACAGAAAATTTAAGTTTACAGCTTTTAAATAAAATAAATCCTCAACAAATTGACATTGTATGTTGGAACAGTTTGTTAATCATTTTTGATTAAAATTGATTTTATTTGAAAATGAAAGACATCATTTAATGATTTTAATAAAGCAATGGATCTTGTTAAACAAGGACAGTACTGGAGTGTAATTGCCATTCAAGACAATTTTACACAAGCAGTCAAAAATAAGTTCGCATTAGTTTTAGTTTATATTGAATTTTAATTGACTTTTGTTTTATTTTAAAGATTAATAGACCTTCAGACAGATTCAACTACTCGAAACGCATCATCACTTCATCTGTATCTTGACATGACGAGTAAGTCAATGTGTTCAGAAGAAGATTTTCAGTGAAAAGATAATTGCAAAGCGACTTTTTAGTAGATGGGATAGGTTTAAGTGTCTTTCTGAATGTAGAGAAAAAGTCTCGCTTTCTATACACAATGTAAACCTAATCATATTCTCTTTTGTGCATTTTAGAGAAAAAATTTAACCCTTTGAATTCCGGCTTCTTTCTGTGAAAATGTAGATTCTTATACGAGACCGTTTCAATATGATGTTCATTAAATTTTTGAAAGACATTTTATTTCTGTATCAATCAGGCATTAATCGTTCATTTTCGTATGATAGTCTTCAAAACAATCAACAATACATAGAGGTACATTACTGTCAAGACACATTAATTCTGTCATGTCGAAAATGATGAGATGTGCAGACAACAAATTTTCT